AGTATGGAGTTTCTTTATACTGAGAGTTAAGACAATGTGAATCCATTTTTGATTGGTTACCGTATTTTAGGCCTCCACGGTGCCACAATCGGGAATGAAGATTACATGTTCACCAATTGCAAAGATTATAATCTGGAATGGATCGAGGAGTTACGGGTTCGACAAGGAACAAACGGAATGAGAGAAGGAACTGAGAAAGGGATTTGAGAATGAGCCGATCAAAGATTACGAAAAGTGTTTGATTTGTGTAATCTTTATTCCCGTTTGTCACTTCATGAGGGGGTGCTGTCGTAACTGTCAATATGTAGGGCCTCTAGTTCAGTCCATCTAAATCTAGGCCCCCTCCCCCTAAAGTAGATTACGCAATAATGGAACAACCCCCCTTAAGTATTCATTTTCTTCTCCCCAATTTTTTCGGCATGAGTTCATTCTGCAGGGGCAAAATTTCCTATCAGATTTCCAAATCTCGTCTATGAGCTCTGAGCTTCGGAATCAATCATTAATGACTTTTATCGGATTTGTCTACTTTCATCGTACCACGAGGCAACACGCTTGCCACGCGCTTGTGTGCGTAGAGTTAGGCCGCGAGCCAATTGAGATAAAACCTGAGAAAATATCGATTATGCCGTATCGATTGCCGATCACAGCGCGTGTTCAGCGTATGCTTCGCTACGCTTTCAACTCCGAACAAATTGAATTTATGTCTGGCTTGTCTTACATTTTATCGCGTGGGTATCCTCTTTTCTGGATTTAATAACTCGACAACCGCTCGAATCGACCAGAACCAGCTTAACTGCATATCGCGTCGCCAGATTTCCTATCGCTGGACTTTTTTTAAACTAGAACAGAGCACCAAAACGCCTCACAGTTGGACCGAGTCTAACAGAAAGGAACCAAGCCACATCAGCTATTGCCAAATTTAACTGGGCAATTAAAGTTTTTACGAGAGAACTTTTGTGCAGACTCCTTTAACATTTTTAGGAAATTTGCTTCAAACCATGGAGAATTTTCACTGAAATTTGCAGAAAAATCCGCAAAACCTTTTTCTTGTAAAAAATTAAATTGCTCAATTCAATTTGGCAATGGTCAATGTGGCTTGGTTTCTTTCTGTTTAATGCGGTCCAATTGTGTGTGAATGAGAACACTCTTTGGATTAAAAAGAGTATATTCACAAAATTTCGAATGAGAAATGGACCGCGTTAAACAGAAAGGAACCAAGCCACATCAGCTATTGCCAAATTTAACTGGGCAATTTAATGTTTTACATGAAAACGGTTGCGTGGATTTTGGTGCAAATTTCAGTGAAAATTCTCCATGGTACGAAGCAAATTCCTTAAAATTTTCAAAGAAATCCGAACTAACGTTCTCTGGTAAAAAATGTAATCGCCCAGTTAAACTTGGCAATAGCTGATGTGGCTTGGTTCCTTTCTGTTTAAGTCGGTCCATATGTGTTTAGTTCTCCCGATAAAAATGAACAAAATGAGAGGAACATAGGCAATGTCTGGAGAGGGTTAGGCTGTTTCTGCGCTCTTAAATCCGTCCAACTAACAACCTGCGCGCGTCGTTTTAATCGCGTCTCGCGGGGCTTTGTCGACGTTGATCGACGACATTTTGATTTTTCTGTCGTTAACGTGTCGAAATTCAGAAAAATCCGCAGGTCTTAAAGCCACTTGCGAAGCAGGTTCATTTGTCGTGCAAAACCCTGATTTCTAGTGTCGCGTGATTTCTCTTACCTATCGTGACGTAATGCCTCACATTTCTACATGAGCCTTGGAAAGAACGGATATAAACGTTAGCCAGGAGTCATTTCGCGACATAGCTACGCCTTTACGTCAAAGATAACGATATGTTCGATCCGACACGTATCTCACCGCTGCCAGCACCATCTTGAGGAAAATCGGCGCACCGGCAAACATCTCATCATTATTGAGATAATTGATTATCGTGCCCGGAAAGGGGCACGGTGGCACCGTGGGTGGGGGGTGGTTGCACGGGGGGGGGGC